CCTAATATACTTCAGATATTAGTCTAATGTATTTAATTGCTAAGTCCAATGAGATTTGAAATTTGATTTTGGTGCATGTATGAGATCACCTACAAACGATCTGATGGGCGAGAAAATTAGAGTCATCAATTATATATTTGCAAAAGATAATTTCGATTAAAAGTGTAATCCTATAGTCAGTAAAAAGAAAGCTTAAAGACTAAAATGTATTGAGTTAAAACAAATAAAAAATGAAGTGATAGAGGTTAAGATTGTAGATATCTAACGATTCAAATATACCTAACATTCTTAGTGAAAGAATGAGTAGCGCAAGTCAGATTATTCTATTCCCTGTATGTTCTTTTCGGTAAGAAATATCTAACAGTATCCTAGATTTACTAACGTTAAAGACCGTCTGTACTAGTTAAAGGGGGATTAGACCTTTCTGCAAGGTCACTGACAGGTGGTAATCTCATCAATCAGCTCTCAATTAATACAAGAAAAAGAGGATCATGGGGGACCAACGGTCACCGCTTAGGCACTGTCTGCTATATGGAGGGCGCAAGTAGCTACAAGTAGTGCAGTGGGGCATTAAAAGGTTCGAGCCCGTGGCAATACAATGATTTATCTTCACGGCAATATTCTACCTTTGCCACTCTTTACCTAGGTGTAGAAGCCTGAGCATGGTATAGGATTGGATACCTTGGATGCTAAGAGCACCTACATCAACAGCCTGACTAATGCAATCAAAGATCGAGCGAGTATTTGCACTCACTAAGCATTTTTGTGCTAATGATCGTCCATGATCTTAGCCTCACTGATGATCACATTATGAAGCACCTTCAGTGGTCATGGTGGTAGTGCGTCTTGAGCGCTCCACAGAGTGGATCGAGCACTATATAAGTTACATTTATTATTATTATCATTGGGGTATCACTACCATTTACCCATCAACCCCCCCCCCCCCATTCTTACTCCCTTTCTTTTTTTGTCTCTCTTTTGTCTATCTCTCTTGCCCCCTCCCTATTTAGCTCTCTTTCTTCCTTGTCTCTCTTTCTCCCTGTCTCACTTGTCATCTTCTCTCTCTTTCGATTACGTTCAGATACTTTTTTTCTTGCTAATCTACCTCGATCTCTCTTATTCCCTCTCTCTGTACTTGTATGTGTCGTATCTTCCCAAACTGTACCTCTTAATACTTGGGTGATCTTTCACTTCGCTCCCAGTGTCATCATTGATTTCATCCCACTGCTTGCCCTCATCAATGATACACGCTTTCGCTCTTAAATAAGAAGCTTACTCATCCAAGTATTTAAGGATTCATGCGAAGGGCCTCTTAGTTTGGCAGGTTCACTGAAAGTGGTGATATTTTCTTTTTAAATGCCACTTTATTCCAAAGATCATGCGGCTAAGACAAACAGCTTATAAATAGTATGAAGATTAAGGAGATAAACATGCACCATGTCATCTTAGTTCACCTTGTATCCTCTAAAGCCCCACTGCACTACTTATATCTACTTGCGCCCTCTATTTAGCAGACACTAACTAATCGGTGACCATTGGTCCCCCAGATCCCCTTTTTCGTATATAAATTTAAATCTGAGTTTATGAGATAACCAAATATCGGTGACCATGATGGATGTCTAATCCCTCTTGGCCAAACTAGTGCAGAGGTTGTTCAATTCAACAAGTTAATGAAATAGTAGGACACACGGTGTTTATCACCATCTTATTTCAAATATGGCAGAGTTATACTTCTTTTAGGTAGGAAAGCTGGTTTGATTGATGTTGTTTTAAATTTACTACTAAAGCAGCTTCCTAGCTATTAGATGCAGTATAGCATTTCACTTGAAAACAGAAGAAAAAAAATACCGTAATCGTTAGGACTGGCCAGGCCTTCCGATATAAGGAGACACATCCATGCACTCTTCAGTATATAGGTGTTAATGTATATGAGAAACAGGGCTGGAGGCGGGGTAGGGGTGTGTGTGGGTGAGTGTGGATGTTCGTGTGCGTATGTGGTGTGCGTTTTTGTTCGTGTGTGTGTGTGGGGGGTAATGTGCGAGGCGAGAATAACGTTGAACCTGATTATCGATCAGACCCTCACCGAACCACTCAGTGAATGAAATCAATCATGACTACATCATTGCCTATATTACTTCATATAATTACAACATGTGGAGAGAGAGAGAGAGAGAGAAAGAAAGGAGGACAGACAGAGAGAGAGAGAGAAAGAGAGAGAGAGAGAAAAAAGAGAGAGAGAGAGAAATAGAAAAAAGAGAGAAAGAGAGAAAAAGTGAGAGAGAGAGAGAGTGAGTGAGATGTAGAGAAGAAATAGAGAAGATAGAGAAAAGGAGAGATATAGAGTGGAAATAAAGAAGATAGAGCAAGAGAGAGAGAGAGAGAGAGAAAGAGAGAGAGACGTAGAGAGGTATTCAATAAAAGATCGTATATAAATATCGAAAATAAATACGGTTAAAGAATGAAGAGAAATAAAACAGAGACAGATTTTTTTTTTTAATTAAAAAAAAAAAATAGGGACAGAAACAAATCTTTTGAGAAAAGGCAGAGAGGAAGAGCATTGGGGAATGATTGGAGAGAAGTGTGCCGATGTCAACTCTTTTAGAGCTTTGTTTCGCACCATTAACCCTCTATGGTTGCAATGCATGAACGCTCACCTAGCGTGTGATCGATCCATTTCGTAATGTGGTTTGGGCTTCACACTTTGCGCAAAGGCATTAAAGACCACACTTAGTGAAAAATCGAAGTACGCTCATTTTTTGTTTTAATATAACAAAATAAGCTTCCTTCCTACCAAAATACCTATGACTTAAGCATTAAGGTCCATCATTTCCTCTTTTGTAATCACTATACGATGGAGAAACTCTCACATTTAGTGGTATCTACAATTATATCTCAAAAGTAATTACATGGACATAAGCCCTTATTGTAGTGAATACTCAATCCATTTACAATAAAGTTCTTTCTATCTTGACTTGATGGCACAACAGTTTTGATAAGGTTGGCATTTCTAAACGGTCCATCACAGTTTCCGCTCGACTTGCATCCGTTCAAGCAAGGTGGCCATTCCCGAAACGAGCGGTGGCTACGGACATTCTCTCTTCAATACGTCGAGGAGAGAGGGTGTGATTTAACTACTTGCATAACAAGAAAGAACAGAGCCCCGTAGCACAAAGGTTTGAGATCAATTGCGAATTCGCCATTAATTTTTTTTTTATTAATTCAATTGCAAACTTTTGTGTTCGAGGCTCAGTTAACTGTTTTGTTCGTAAGTGAATAACAATATTTAATATTTAGTTTTTATATAGCGCTTATCACAAGTGTCTCTAAGCACTTTACAAATATATTATTACCCCGGTCAATTGATTCAGTGCTTACCCGCACACACTGTGTGCACAATCTCTACTCCCTGGGCAGCATTCCAGCCAGGCGTTACTAGACGCTCAAAACTGTTTGACCAACAATGACGGTCGCATCCTACCGGGAACCCATTTAATACCTGGGTGGAGAGTAGCAAGACATTATTCAGTAGTTCATAGTAGAAAACTGCTGAAGAAAAAATTGTTTGATACATGCTCTTGGCAGACGCCTTGCTATATCCCCTACACTAACTGCATTACCGAGTTGAAACCTGGACCAAACAGTTTACACTACTCTAACCTTAAATCTAACTTTCACACTCAAACAAATAACAACCATAACGATCCAAAGCAAATATTACTGGGGTCAATTGGGATTATCTATTTTGTTCGTACACGGCTTAAGAATTGGAACAATGACAGCAGTTATATTAATACATCTTGCCGATCAATTATGAAATTAATTTGTGGAATTAATATCATTACAGTCAATAATTATACTAAATGTATCACGTCTCTTCGAAAAGCTTCTTGTTAGGTTGTTGTTGTTTTTTGTCATCGACACAATAGCTACTATTATAATGATTATTATAATAATCATAATAATAATAATAATAATAATAATAATAATAATAATAATAATAATAATAGCTCACATATTTTATAATGCGCCTAATACTTTGTTTCTAGGCGCAGCACATATGATTACCCCGGTCATCGGATTCAGGCTTACCCGCACACAATGTATGCACATTCTCCACTCCCCGGGGAGCATTCCAGCCAGTCGCCATTTTACAAGCGCCACTTGCTCATCCAACCACATAAACGTTCGCATCCTACCAGGTACCCATTGTCAAATGGCAAAGGACATTAGTGCCGTGTCGGGGATCGAACCACAACCTTCGAATTTCAAGTCAAGCGCTCAAACCACTCGACTACGACACTAAATATTACGACTACGACACTTCTAAATACTCCTCCAATGTAATCTCGCCCCTTCGTACCTCTTCCTTAATCCCAAACCTATGGAACTGAACGTAATCCGATGGGCGAGAGAGACTGTGATCAGTTTCTCTTGCCTCGCCTTCATGCAATCAATGAATAATTGATACCGTTGCCCTACACCATTTCACTCTAGGTTGCACATTGCTGACGGAGGCCTACCGTGATGTAATGGCGAACCTCTACGAGTCAGCTATGTGATGAGAAAGTAAAGTAAACTCACAACGTCAAAGACCACTTTTCAAATGTGATTATTGTAGCGCAGTAGAATATATACTTAATGTTGGATAGTTTCTGCGCTCTATATATGTATTATTATTATCATTATTATTATTATTATTATTGTTATTATTATTATTATTATTGTACACACTGATTCCTACCAATAGCAGATTGAAAGATGAAATTGTGAATTGGACGACAGTGCACAATGTTGACTGGAGTCTGTGCTCGATTTTGTTACTCACAACATATTTCGATGACAGAAAGTTTCACAAAATCATTGAGTTAGTATGAAATACCCCAATACAATTCTATCACGAAGAAGCTTGATATCTTTTTGACCAAATTGCCCAAAAACATATTGTTAGGAATCTTGATCTTTATTGTTAAGTTCGTGTAAATAATTATTTTTGCGCTCACCTCCATTCTCTTTTAAATCTAGTTGTACATTTCCTTTCACTCATGACCTGAACACATGAGTGATATTCTTTTCGTACAATATACTAATTTCTGCAAGCAGTTAATGCAATCTCCAGTATAATAGAGTCTATTCCTTTTCATTTTGATCATTCTAAATCTTTGCAATATATCCATCAATCATTATGTACCACCTTATCAGCTTTTCCGATTGGTTTGTTGCAGGTTGTTTTTTTTTCCTCCATGTAATCGCACGACTAGAAGTCAAATTTATATTTCACCCACGACACAGAGAACAAACGTTTAAGTCAATATCGCCCGCCAGGATATGATGGAATGCTACCCCATTACTTTCGGAGGGCAGGCAGGTTTTGATTAAATGAACCAATTTGTGTATTTATTGCTTGCTAAAACAATCGTGTTTGAGAGGAGGTCGCTGTTTGATGTATAGGTTATGCGATTAATGAAGTCATTCTCTTGTAGGCAAGGAAACGATCTTTCTTGCTGAGGTCTCCGCTCTTCCGTTCAAGATTTCCTTTTAAATTCCGTCTGCACTAGCTTAGCCAGGAGAATTAGACCTCCCTGCAAGGTCACTGACAGGTGGTTATCTCAGCCAATCAGCTCTCAATTAACATAAGAAAAAAAGAGGATCATGGGGGACCAACAGGCACCGATTAGGCATTGTTTGCTATAAATATACATATATATATATATATATAGAGAGAGGGAGCAAGTAGCTATACGTACTGCAGAGGGGCTTCAATCTAAAGATTTGTTTCTTCTTTCTTCACTACACCCAAAGTTTAAACACGCACAAACCTGTTACTGAAGCAGGGATACATTCAAATCAATTTGCCGATAATCTCTTGCGTTTAAAACACTAAACTCTTGTTAGAATTATGAAATAAATATCTATAAACGAATTTATTTTAAGCATGCTCAGTGTAATTCTTATATGCGTATATAAATGTTTTTAAATAGACAATCTACATTTTGTTTCTCCTTTCATGAAAGATCATGACAACTATTGCAATTATCTATACATGAAAGCCAATGTTAATATTACATACATGAGGATCATCAAAACAGCAACAAGAAGAAAGAATTTGTATTGCTAAATAATTTTTCAGTCTAAAAATGAATATCTGTTCACAGACAATGTTTAAGGAATAATTTTTTTTTTTAATTTGATCTGATAAAAAGACGACCATTGCTTTAATATTCAATTTTGCAACCATCTCCTCTGGGGTTGATCGAGATGAATGTTTTGGGAGAATGTAACCAGGTTCGTTTTCTTCATTTCGCCTCGGTGGTCTGAGGTAAACGCTCGATTAATTATGGTAGACCCACTCCAGAGGCTCCGTACGGAGAAACTCAAAAGCGCGCGATAAGTGACGAGGAAAAGTCAAGTACATACTGCCGTCTGCTTCGAGGGCTCTACGGACTATCACGTGACACTGCCCGTAATATAATTCCAAGAACAAATGCGAATAGAGAAGGGATGAAAGAGAAGATGAGAAGGAGGAGGACAACAATTAGGCGAGGATGGTGAGAAGAAGAAGAAGAAAACGAAGAAAGAAGGTGGAGGAGGATAATGAAAAAATGACTGATAATAAGGGCACTTCTGGATAAGGGCGGCTCTGTTTTCTTCGCATATTTTAGAAGTAATATCCGGGCTCTTAAGACTCGGTATTTTATTTTGCCTCTGTAGGGGCCAATTAGAACGGTTCAGACAGAATGATACTCACGAACTTTAAAAACATTTCGCCCGCACCGCCCGGTGTTTAGATGGAAACATAAACCGAATGGGCAAAAGGAGTTTTCACGCAATTAAAGCTTACACACCGGCAAATATTTTAAAAGATAAAATCTTTTATGTTCGTCACTATAATGGTTTGAAGATCTCCTCACACAAAGTTTTCTATACAGTAAACGACATTTTGGAATAAAGCTGAATTCGTCGGCAAAACTCTCGGCTAGTATTCACAACAAGCATGTCATAACATTGACAAGAAGTTTCCCTCTTCACAACGGCTAGGCCTGAAGCTGCAGACTACATTCTATTATCGCCTGAAAGTATCACCTGTTTCTGATGACGTCATAATAGAATCGACCGAAGGGGGCGAACATGCCTGGCTGATTTAAACTAGGACATCGGAAATTAAAAGTTATTCCGAACAAACTTCAACTGGCTTATCATCTGAATATATATATATATATATATATATATATATATATATATATAGTATCTACATATATACACACACACATCCAAGCGCGCACACGCGCACACACACCCACATCTACATGCACACACATATAAGCGTGTATATGTACGTCACGAATATTGTCCTAGAGGCAAACGATATCAATCATCATGGTGCAGAAACATATGGCGATTCGAAGACAGTTCATTTACCTCTTCCTATGGTTCCTGAACCAACACTGAGTTCATTATCCCTGGTGTGCAATGCTTTTGGCTTAAATAATACAAATTATAATACTGCTACAGATATATCTATTATCGACATTTGAAAAAATACCATGGTTGTTTTTGTATAAAATAGTCTAGAATTTGATATAACGACCTCTTAGCTTTGTCCACACTTTTATCTCACTTTTTTAACAAACTTCACTATATTTTGCAAGATTGCACCGTAAAGTGCTCGCTTATAAACCGATTAAAACCGATTAAAACATGAAGGAATTGTGCATCATTACCTTTAAACTATTGGAAAATAAACGCCTCGAAGCTTCGAGAAAATGAAGCACTGTCATCGACACAAATTTAGGCCACTGTACTTGTATGTTACCGTAGAACCCCAAGGCATTATGGGTAATGAGGTCTCGGTGAAGAATGGAGAGCAGGATGATTATGAAGCGATGGTGTTTCTTGGATAATGACAATATTTATTGCTCAACAGGCCACACTTTGAAACGCTTCCTTTTACACTATCCACGTGTATAGCGCATAGCGTTTCCCCTTCTATAAGACAAGAAAAGCAGTTCATTTCATTTTGAACAAAAGGGTTCTCTGTATAGAGATAACTACGGTGATTTGTTCACCATTTGAATTTTTTCTGTAAGTCTAGATCTAATATAGACGAAACAAGCTAGAGGGGGGACAGAGATTATATGAACAGAATAATAAACCACAGCAAAGAAAATAGAGAATAGTGTCCTCGAATTGAAAAACCTAGAAATGATAAACTGATTGTAGAGGTACATTTACAGATTATTGTCTTTAGAACAAAATATGATATATTAATAAAACTTGATTCGTCTGAAATATAATAATATCTGTAATACGAAACTCTTAACAAAGGCAAATAATATCATATTTGGAACAATAGTATTGACAAATTTTGCTCAGAAAAAGGCTTTCTTATAGGAGAATATAAAAGAAGGAAAGACAAACAAAAAAACTATGTCGGCGTTCATATACCATGAAACGTGACGACGTAAAAAAAAAAATCCAAATGCCCTTAAAGTAACAAAGAGTTGGTCAGAAAACACATCTGACATCCAATCCCCTACAAACCTCGAAGGACAGTATTAATCGATTAGTTGAAGCAATGGACACGTGACTCGACCTTGTATGGCGCCCTCAAGTTTTAGTTTTCGTTACAAAATCAATACTTTTGAGACTTATTCGATATGTTTTGGTTTGTTACCCGGGAAGGCAAAGGGGCAGCTGTCTCATCGTGAACAGGGTGGCGAAGATTCGAAGTATATTTTAGAACAATATTGGAATTGCAGATTTTGATTGATTAATATAATATGGCACTGCAATGTTTAAAGTAGTGTGTCTAACAAACTTGTATATTAAGGAATGTGTAGGTGGAGTTTTTGAAAAGAAGATGAGGGAAGGTTAATGGATGTTATGTGTTGGTATTCGTCTTGTTTCGTCCTACTGTGCTATTTACATATTATCTATGACAGGGTATGGACCTACTAGCTTTCCCTGAGGAACGCCAGCAAAGTATGATTTTACAAACACATAAATGTATGAAAAATGAGCACAAGCTTCGTCACAATATTTCAAAATCAACTATACTTATATGTGCATCTTCTTTCGTTTCACAGCAAGTAGATTTTCATTATGAAATGAAAAACAAGATCATAACAATCGTCGGACCCTTTTTAAACAGCTAGGCCTGCCTCGTTTTTATTCCCACCCCTTACATTTAAATGAATATTGATCGTAGCCTACATGTAATATGATAATCCCTGGAGCAATGCAACGAACACTCTTAAAATGTTTCCTAGAAGGAGTAGTTTCAGTCGTATCTTATTGTCTCCGCCTTAGGATACAATCGGGAACATGCCCAAATGCGTGTTATCGATCAATCGATAGGCACTATCGCTTTCAACTCAAATTAAATAACAGGTTGTATCTGTATCAATGGAAAAAGAACCCGTTTTCACAAAAATGAACTACAGACTGACTTCTTCTTTTTTTAGAAGAAGGACACTAAACTAGATTTTCATTTAAAGTGGATATTCTTTGTTTATGGAGATAAAAATACGAAAGTATTACATTGTCCGTTCACACCGATCAAAATGATTATGACTGGTGTACTCAGTTTGAAGTCATCACGATATTTTGTATAGCAAATCATTTTCTGAAGTTCTCACCACCTCGGACACATGTCAAATGGTTGATATGAGACAGTTTTTTTAGTGAAAGTAGCAATCCCAATCGTTGAACTATGAAGATATTTTGAGTACACGTGTATCCTTCACTTCTACCTGTTACGTTGCATTTCATTATTGCTGTAAATGATGAACTTGCGTCCTTGTCTCACGTGTACTCATAGCCCTGTGGCTGCTTAGGTACATCCGGCGACAACAGAATTATAGGACACAGTCTTACGGATATTTCTGTGAAACCGATCCCTACTTAAGCCTGCAGCTTGACACGATGAATACAACGATACACTACAGCTTCTCAACAAACGGTGGGCTATCATAAACTAGGACGCCTTAAGGTTAACCCACAGCATCTC